TTTTATTCTACAGTTCCTTTCAAAACAAAGAAAGCACTGATTCGAAGTCCTTAAACTCTTTTCCTTTCTTCCAGAGACATAGCGCATTTTTCCGAAGCATGATTTTCGCTTTCGCAAAATAAGCAAGGGAAAGTTCGAACAACCGCAATTTTGCTTACGTTAGGAGAGTAGCTGGCGCCAAATTTGAATGTGAAAATTATTTCATACCCGAGGCTCGGCAACATTTGAATTTGGTTGGTTTACCTGATGATGCAAAAATTGTTCTGATTGTAGACAACTGTTTGGCTCATACTTCACTTAAAAGTTTTAGTGAAAGATAATGTATCTGTTTTATTAAGAAGTTTAAGAAGATTATTAAAATTCAAAATCTTTTTATTTTTAACCAAACAAAAGTCTGATCTAGCTGGTTTTCAAAAGGACTTATGGCTATCAAAGCTGTGCTATATGTCAGATATTTTTGAGAAACTAAAAGAATCTCAAATTTTCAAGAATAACTTAACAGAGTATTTACTTCAAATGATAAAATCAAAGGTTTTATTAAAAGTATCAATAATTGGAAGAAAAGGTGGAAAAAGCATAATTTCAAATGTTTTTTACTCTTAACAATTTTATAATTGCAAAAAATAGTTGCAAAAATTGTTACAGATTACATAAAATGCTAGAGATACAGTTTTACAAATACAGTGCAAAGTCCGCCGGACTCCTAGAGACTTCAATGATTCCAGATTTGGGAATTTTCCAGATATCAGATCATCAGTTTAAATCTAGTAAGATGACATGTAGAAATTATGAAGTCTAGATTTATGAAATAAGGAAGAATTTATCATCTAAAATTTACAAAAAAAAAAAAAGCTGAATATTTATTTTACTTTATTAAACATTTCTATTTGTTTAAGTTGCTTCACTTTTTGTACTGATACTTCCTCTTAATTCTGTTGACAGACACAATTTCTTGTTTGGTTACAAAGTTCCATTGCTCAAATCCTGCAGTTGTTGTGTTGAGAATTTCGACTGTTAGCCGAAATTTTTTCACTTTCAGTAACTTATGTGTCACTTTCTTCAGTATCGGTAGCGGTATTTTCTGGATCTAGAACCATATTACAGATTGTGCCATTCATTGATTGATGATTGGGCCATTGTCATCATGATGAAAAGCTTCTGTTATCTTCATTTATTATTACCTCTCCACATTTCTTTACAAAATCCATTAATTGGAAAATTCCACCTCTGGTTTGTGATATCCATAAACCTCCAAATTCCTGGCTATCATCTTCACTGTCTTCACCGTGAAATATTGTAGCTGGCCATAAATTATGCCAAGCATTTTTTTTTTTTTAAGTATCTGGAGACACATTCTCACGATCTTATGATGCTCCACACAGCAGATTTTATGCTAAAATATTTTTTTTAATTCTTGAATAGTCTTGCCACTTCATGTTAAACTTCAAAAACTTTTAACATGAATTTAAAAAATGCTACTTTATATTTGCATTTCAGTGTGTGCTCTATTCCAATATCCATAGGCTGAATGATAGACATACAGTTTAGAGGAAAGAATAATACGGATACATTACCTTTCACTAAAACTTTAAGTGAAGTACGAGTCGAACAGTTGTCTACAATCAAGATAATTTTTGTGTCATCAGGTAAAGCCTCAGGTATGAAATGATTTTCAAACCAGTCGTTCATAAAGCTTGTGTCATCCATGTTCTTTTATTTCCACGATATATTGCAGGAAAAATCTGTACTTTTTTAAGCGCTTGAGGTCGTGTTGATCTGTCAGCAAAATCGTTATCTTCAGGGCAGATGTTTTTATTTTATTCAGCTTATAATTCCTTACTAAATGTAGTATTTAATCTCGATGTACTCCATCTTTGATATGATTTAAATCAAATTCCTCGTCATTATAAATATCATGAATACAAATCAAATAGTTTCCTGGTTGCAATTTTCTAATTTCGGCTATGCGTAAGGTATGCTTTACGCATGCGCGCGTTGAAAGAAATGTTTAATAAAGTAAACAAATAAATATTAAGCTTCTTTTTTTTGTAAATTTTGATACCCTTTAGATCATAATTGCTCATTATTTTATAAATTACGGTTTCATATTTTTAATTTTATAATTTCTGCATGCCATCTTACCAGATTTAAACTGATGATCTATAATCCGGAATCGCCGAAGTCCCGACGAGTCCGGATTAAAGACTTTTGACTGTACTGTGCTGATAATGCTTTTACTGGTACAGTACTTATAACATCTTTATTGTGAATATATAATACTCTGTAGCATAAAAACAGAATTTGCAGCTTTTTAACAGTTATATGCTATTCCCATTATATTCCTACCTTAAAAACAGCTTGAGTTCCCTTAAATACAAATCTAAATTGATATCGCTCAGTCTCACATTGTGTTTTACTGTGCCACTTTGATGAATCCAAAAATCTCTCATTTTGAATATACACATCTATATGACCAGTTCCATAATTTTTAAAATACCCCACTGCTTGATGTTCTAGGCAGGTCCAAAATTTAATCTTTCTTTCTACCCTCTCTCTCTCCCTTAAAAAAAAAAATAAAAAAAAAAAAAAAATGCAAGGGGAAAATAGAGAAATAGTAATTTATTTATATAAATATGTTCAAAGGCTAAACTGATTTACTATGGTTACCTAAAACCAAAGTAAAGATCATATGAGTATATTGATGTCACACTTATCCATTATCAGCACTAAATCATGCTTTTTTGGCATGCTATTAAAAATGGTCGATGAAAAAATACATACCAATTTTTTATGTCCAAGAATAGAAAATGTAAATTGTTTTATTACACATTTTTTACCCAGAATGTATCCAGGGTTTGTAGCGGTCTTTATAAGTGCTCATAAGTCCTTATATTTGAAAATAAAATATAAAGGCCCTTATAGGTGCTTACTTTTTCTTTAAAGCCCTTATTTTTTGTTTTTTAGTGCTTATTTTTTGCTTTTTAGTGCTTTTTTTTTTTTAATGAACGCGCTATTTTTCCCCCTACCAAAGCCGAAACTAAATAAAACAACTTTCTTCCTAATATGAATGTCAGATGGTGAATCATACTCCCGGCCGGAAATAGCTTTTCCCCCTTTCTCTGCATTAACATAACCTTTGGTGCGCACGAAAGAGTACAGACAGGTGCCCGTCGTTATATTGGTCAAAGAATTGCGAAAGCAGTAAGAAATTCCGGTACATTCGGCATTGTTTTACTTCCACCCAAATACTACACACGTTTGAATTTCTATCAAGATCTTAATAATTTGCATTCTCGTTCCGCTTGGTCAGTTCATATTCGTGTTTATTATGATCATTATGCTTATATTATGAGCATATGTATGAATGTTTATAATAACAGTTGCAGTAACTGCTGAAGTATAGTAAACTTCCAAATATCGTTGTATTTGACACAGATTAGCTTTTTAAGGAATAATACTCGGAATGGCTTAAATAAAGGGAAAGTAATCGAATAGTCAAAATAATTTCAATTTTTTTGGCCAATACATTATAGTAACGAAGATTGGGAGGTTCTCCCCTTTTTCCGCAAAATCTCGAATATTGAAACTGTTACAATTCACTGCAAAACAAGCAACGGACCCCCCCCCTTTTTTTTTTTTTTTTTTTTTTTTTTTGTCATTTTCCAATCTGGATTGAATAGGACTAAAAGTTCTGCGATCTACCAACCCAAACGAAGAATGATTCTATTCCGGAAATTTAATGCCGCCTGTTGAAAATTAGAATGAAAAACATTCCAGTCATTTATTCTCCCAAATACCGGCAGCTGTTGATTCCGATTGTGTAATATCACGTAGGGAAGAATTACAATACACATTGCGCAATAACGTTCGCAATACTTTGCAGAGATAATTAATTTTTATGTTCTGTCCGAGATTTGTTTATGAACACTTAAAAGAGTTTTACTGTGCTTGCTAAGCAGAATATTTTTCAGTTCCATTAATTTATTTTTATATGATGCACATATCGAAATGTCAAAAGCATTTATTTAGCGGAAAAATTTAAAGAGCGGCAACTGTCTACCCCCTTTCCGCTCCTCTTTTTCAAGTTACGATCCACTGTCCGAATATTCGCCAATTTCCAAGTATGCGTGTTAGTTAAGCTTTTACTGTTAAAGGATGACTGCATGAAGCAAATTTCTGTCTTCTTATTTCAGAAAGGTTCCTCTTTTTTACTTAAATTACTTTGCTTGCAATATCTGTTAAGGGAAAACTGATATACAATGAAAATTTAGAAATGTTCAGAATTTAGATTTAAATTATTTAAATAGCAATATGAGTAGAAAAATAAATTGTATTTATTATTAAGTTCCAAACGAATACAATAAATATGCCTTATTATTATTTATTTTCTCTATTTTGAACTGAAATTTCATCATTAAATCTTGTGATATAGTTTAGTTCTGCATAGTTTTTTTTTCTCTCATTGTAAACTAGTTCTGTAAATTGAACTTTTATTTAAAATTTTAAAAAAAAGTAATTATTTTCCATGGTTGAGGTAATGCTTATTCTCTCTTAATAAATACTGCATTTCTCATATTTTAAATTACAAGTCTAATTTTTAAGGTTATGCAGTTGTGTATAATGTAATTATACAGGTGCTTATTTTTTTCTTAAAATGTGCTTGAAAAGTGCTTATAGGTGCTTATTTTTTTTAACTAAAATGTGGCTATGAACCCTGGTATCATTTTATCACATGCTTTCAGTGTTGGATAATTTTTCCCCTTTTCTTTCTTTTTAAAGAATTTCATATTTTTATGTTTAAAGATACTGTAAACTTTGAATTTATTTCCATCTCTATCTTTATTGGAAAGAATTTATTTCGTGGTGTTATTTATATAATAAGACATCTACTTTTTGATAATTAAAAAAGTATCATATTATTTATGATATATTTTATTCTTAATATGTGTTTGACTAATAATTATTTCTCTTTTCCATGTTTTTATGTTATCCTCATTCAGTTATAACAGTAAGTATTATTATAATCTATTTTTTAATTTAATCTGGTATTTTATAAAGTTATTAAATGTAAAAAAAGAAAAATTGTGGTGTGTAATAAGAAGTTTAATAGAATGCAAACAGATGTTTATGTAGAATTTCATTATTTTACTATCATTTACTGTAAAGAACAGGCATGTTTAAATTTGATAGTTAATTAGTGTTTTTCAATTAACCACTTGCATTTTTAAAAAAAGTTTGTTTACCAGCTTTGAAATGGGGAGAAACATATACATGTTGCCATATTCAGGTATATGCTCTTCCACAATCACAAAAACATTTTGGGCCTGTAATACATCATTTATATTTTCACAATATACATTTTTTATGTCATAAAATTAGCATAGTGCTCAAAGTCAAATCTGATTTAAGTACAAGAGAAAAATTTGGACAAAAGCAAGCATTGAAATCTAATCAAAAGAGGTTTGTTCTACGTAGAAAATCCCATGTCTCAAGAAAATCAATATGCTAAAGAATTGAGCTTCTAAAAAGATTAGTGAAACTTGTTGTCATTATCTAATATTGGCAGTGACTAAAACTTACGCTTAAAAACTGGATCACATCTGATGAAGCATTGTTTCATATATCTGATGCTGTCAATCAAAGAATAATTTTTATCAAAGCGACAGGCACAAAAATGCAACTTTTCAAAAAATGGGAGTTGGATATTTGGTGTCATGTTATGAATTGGCACATAATGGGCCTAACTAAGTCATTTCTTTTGCAAGCCAAAGGTAAAAATTAGTAGTCCTTATTAGCAAAATAAGAATAAAAGATTTACAGTGTCATGAAAGTTTCAGTTACAAGGGGCCCCCAAGGGAAAGCATTGTTAAAATGTAAAATAACAGCAAATGTAAACTGTGTCTTAATATAATGGTCTCCAAGAATTCTAATGTAGAACCTCACTTCCTGAATCTGCTACTGATAAGAATTTGCCTCATGTGGTTAAAGATGCCCTGAGTACCTGCTTAAGTAGCAAGTGCTCAGGGCATCTTTAACCACATGAGGCACATGCATTAACCACTTGGCATCTTTAACCACACCACTGTATGTTCCACTAAGATTTTGCATTCTGTCAAACATCTAAGACTACATACATTAATAAGTATCTTAATGATAAAAAATCAACATCTGATATTGTTGCTTCTTGTAATTATTTTTTATGAGGATGTCTTGAAAACAACTGAGCTAGTACAAAAACAGAAAACTTCAAACAAAAATAAAAGTTCTTCAAAATGCTGTAAAAACTGAGACAAATGAAATAGCCCCCCCCCCAAAAAAAAAAGATAAATTAGTCGTTACTACAGCATTGAAGTAAAATTTATGATTCTTTATGGTGATCATATTGAAAACTATATTTAAAAATATTTATTTAATCAAGAAGACTAGTACGCACGTATTTTGTGTCCCTGGTCAGACTGTGGGTTTGCAATGCCACCTGCCACTTTTTTGGGCCTGGGCAGAAATTCGAAAGAAGGCATGGATGTAGTGAGTTCACGTGTCATGAGAAAACTAATTCCTTCAAGAAATTGTACAAACAAAACTTTATTTACTTTTTTATAAATTATAGTAAAGGTTTGAATATCTGGAATCCAAATAGTTGAGCACAGTGCAATTCATGGTAGAAGAACCAAATTAATGGAAGAAATTTTTTATCTAAAAACATGCAAATATTCAAATAATTTATTATCAACTTGAGTATCAAAAGCATACATTTAGAATTATGCGAGATTTCAAAAAACAAATGGTGAGAAGGGGGGAATTTGGACATAAAAGCCAAGTTATTCTGTAGCTCTTAAAATATGAATATAATACATTTTATTTGATTATAAAGACCCATCAGTCATCAAAGCTGATAGAGGTCAGGTATAAGTTACAGGTATGTGGCATATCAAGAAAAAAAATTGCTCATCGTAATTTTTCGTGTTGCATCGCAGTTGTGTATCTGTTTTTAAGTAAAGTTGCATACCATGCTCATTAATGCTGATTTTCCTTGATTCCAGGATCCCACAACTTTAAAAATGCTTCACTACATGTTCTGTAGAAGGCAGGTTAAAACTTTTAATTCCCCCCCCCCAAAATGCAAGGGAAAACAGATAATTAGCAGTTAACTGATATCCTGTTCAAATGCTATATCAGCTTATTGACAATTAATCAGGTTTATGTAAAACCAAGGTGAAGATCTTATGACTGTTATTATATCATACATATCCATTATTAGTGCTAAATGACACTATTTGGCAATAATGTCCATGTGCTTATAATGGCTTCACAAGTCTTTCATTTCCTTAAATTTTTCCAAGGGGGAGCACAGTATTCTGATTAGTTGAAAATATTCTGGTTAGTGAGTTTAAAATGTCCTGGTTCATTGGATGCTAAATAATCAATCCTTTTACTATCTGTCAAATATTTAAAAAAAAAAGCATATAAATTTGATTTAGTTAGTATTTTATTTTTAGCTCATATATTTTACCTAAAATATAATTTTAAGGCATTAAATTGAAATTAGTCTGTAATTTACTTTGCCTTTATGTTTTACACTGTATGCTTAATTCCCTTTTTCTCCCTCCTCAGAACCCTGGTTATATGAAGGATGACTTTTTCATATCCATAGAAACAATGCATTGTGCAGATAGAGGGGATCAAGAAAATGTAAAGTAGTTTTCATTTTAATAAGAATTTATTGTAGTTTAAAGATTATTTTTAAGGCACAAAATATTTTTCATTGTCACTTTCGTTGTATTGGCTTCATTTCAAATTAGCAATAAAAAAATACATACTGAAAGTGTATACTTCCCTGTTAAGTTTATGAATATAATATAAATCCCATGTCATGCTTTTGAGACATTTAAAACACAGGTTTTGTAAATTTTTAGAAAGATATAGACCTGTCTTTCCCTTTTTTTGTTCAGAGTGTATGGCACTCTCAAGCACATGCATGTTTTTCTGAATTGGATTCTTCAGAATCCTGATATACTGCTAGTGTGTTTATACCCACATAACAAAGAACAAATTTAAATATTAGTCTCATATTAATTTTATTTCCTCATTCATATAGTCATGCTTACTTAAAAGCTATATTTAATTAAAACCAAAACTGTAAATAAGTTTATTTGTATACATTTAAAAAATGATTGAGTAGTAAAAATATTCATTGTGTCATAACAGTATCATTCCTTTTTAGGTACATGAACTTCCACCTGAGAAGTTAAGAATAAGAGAAGTAGAATACATTGATATAGGAAATGACCCTGTAGCACCTAAGGTAAAGTTAAATTTTAACTGAATATTGAAAAATTATAGTGTGATTAGTTTGGGAAAAAAATAAGGTAATATGGTAACAAAAGCACCAGTTTCATTTAAAAACCATAGATTGTGTCTAAACTAAGGTTGCTTTTTTGCCTAGTTAAAAATTGAATAATTGTTTTTAAACAACTATAAAGTTATTTTTGTTGAAATCTTTTTTTCTGAAACACTTTATTGTATTATTATGTGCTGACTGAATATAAATGAAATTTTTTTCTTTGTTATTGTTATTGTTGTGTTTTCTATAAAATTTTGTTACTGCTTTCTATAAAATTTGTTTTAATTACTGAACGACTTGTGTTAGGAAAATTATAAAGTGTGAAGTCTGATATCCAGGCATTTAATATCTGGAATGATCTTATATCCAAAGAACTATCCCGCCAATAAAAAGTAATGCTTACAAAGTCTAGGAATGGAGGACATAATAACAGAAGGAAACAGGTGTGCCATAGATGCAATTTTTGTTTGGAATTGAGATTCCTGCATGTTTCTTTCAAAACTTGCTGACCACACTTTCAGCCCTTGAGTGGTTGTGGGAGGGGGGTCAGGCCAAGCACTATACATTGTGCTACTGGGTACGATCTCTGTGTGTTTTAAATTTAAAAAAAAAAAAAAAAAATATTCCCCTTAAATTTTTCTGACTAGTGCCTCTCCAAAATTCTGTCATCCCTAATTTTTGCTGCTTGGGTCTCATTTAAATTCTAAAATTTTTGTTATCCCCCCCCCAGTTTCTGATGCAAGATGCAGCAGCATTTGTTGTTTCTACACTGGCTTTGTGAGGGGGGTTAGCACTTTTCTGCCTGACCTAAATAATAAGAGAAACCTCTGTGTTGTCATATGTGCATGTCATCTTACTAGATTTCTAAACTGTTGATCTAAAATCTGGAAATTTCTGAAATCCAGAGTTGGCAAATTCTGAACGATTCCAAATCTCACAAAGGTACAAACCGTACAAAGGTGAGGCGAATCCATGTCTAGCCGTACCTGTTTTACGTGTGGTGAACCTATTTTGACCTGTGTTTAAATCCAGGCAGATGAGATGGCTGCATGCATGTTTTCACCGTTTTGTCCTTGTATATCATGAATGTGGGCCAGTTTCCTTTTTCATTTATGAAAAGTCTTTCATGAATATGTAGTAAAATTTGTCATCATACAAAATAATCCAGTCAGATAAGTCCATGTCTCTGACGGGAAAAAGAAAATTTTGTATAGAAATAATTCTCTCCACCTCTGTTTCATCTAATCTTAAAGTGAATATTGTTTCACCATATTTAATTATGTCTACTTGCACGAGCTGATATTTATCTGCTTTATTTGCAGTCTTTGGCTATATTTTTGTAATAACTTGTTTTTGTGCTACCAAATTCATTCTCACTGACAGATACTATGTACCTTTTCTACAAGGCAATCATAAAATTTGAATTTGAGTATGTCTTAATCTTAAAATCTTAAATCCAGATCCATTTACAAAATGTTCTCATCTTTGAACGTTTAGTGTATTATCTTGTGTGCATGATTTATGTAACACATGCTTATAAATTTAAAAATCTGAAAAATAATTATTATTTGTTAACTAAGTTGAACTAAGATCTTAATGCTGTTATGCTTTTAATTATTGATTTTAGATTCTGGAATTTGTCTTCACTCTTTCTACTCTTCTTAAGATGATTGTGCATGCTGTCAAATCCCCCCCCTTTTTCCCCTCCTCAATGTGCTTGGGTGAATTTTGCCCAGTTTGTATGAAATTGCATTACTGCTACAAGAAGAGAGAGCATTCATTGTTTACCATTTAACAGGTTGACTGGCCAACATGAGATAACTCATATTAGCACTCTTCTTTAGGACAGCCTATATGTATTATCTTGTAGTTTCTTGACTTGCCACTTTTGCGCCGCTGCGAGTTACTTACTCCCTCAGCGCTTATTTTAGCTGTACCGAGGCGACAAGTCGAAGCACGTCTGTACAAATCAACTTGTAGTGGGCTTCTGTGAAGAGCTTTGTCTAGCAAAAGTCGACTACGAGATAATTCGTAGGAACCTTTTTCTACCAAAAAAAGAGTCTTCTAAACTTTTTAATCATTGTTAGGAATCATAATTAGTATTTTTAATAATATAATATGACTGAATCGATTTGGCTTCTCGGACCGGAATCCGAAAAATGCCATGGCAGTCAACGTGTTAACTTAGTGTGAGTTAATGGCTAAGACAATTTTTCTACTTTAAGATTGATCTATATTGTTGGCCGATGCTGGCGTAGGCAAGCACCTGCAATTGAGAGTGGGGGGGGGGGGGATCTGAAAGGTTTAAGATTTTAAATTATGTCCAAAGGGGCTTTTTTTAACAATTTTGTGTGTTACCTTTATTTATTAAATATCATGTTCTTTGCACTTAAACCATCAAATTCAGTTCAACAGCTATGTCACAAAATAATTTTAAAATGAGCATATCTTTAGAATTTGTGATACACAGTTCTGTGTGCTGGAGATTAAAAAAAAAAAAAAAAAAAAAAAAAAAAAAAAAAAAAAAAAAAAAAAAAAAAGGTCCCCTTCCCATAGAGTGTGTCCATTGCCTCGCTTTTAAATCGTTGAGTTTGTTAATAAAAAATTCATTAAAGTTTTACAAAATATGAAATCGCTAATAAAACAAATTTCTAATTTGGCCTTTCAGATGCTCATATTTGCAGTAGAATTACGTCTTTCAAAATTGGGTGGGTCTAAGTGTTGTTGTTTTATCATATGCAAGAAACATACATACATTTATGCAGATTCTTCATTATTTAATTTCTTCAAATATAATGCAGGGCGAAAGTATTTGGTGGCAACGATTTGAAAAGTGATACAGCCTTTTTAAAGTTTTCAATGCAAAAAGAAAACAATAGTCCTTCAGGGTTTCAACACAAAATCGCAAAATGAAAACAATAACCTTTCAGGGACAAAGTCCATTTGGACTAAAAAAGATCTACATTGTACTATATATCAAGTTTAAAGTTGGTGTGTTCTAATTTCTAGGACTAAGTATGTATTATAGTGTATTAAATCTGTAAGACCAAATGAAGTATATTTTCCAATTAAAAATAAAGTGAAAGGGCTTTTAAAGAACTTAATTCAGTGGCTATTTAGCTTTTAAACTTTCTCTGAAAAATAAAATTTCCTTGAAAATGATAGATTGCCTTATTTGTAATCAGCATGGGCAGTAAATATAAAAATTCTTAAATGTCAGAATATAAAATTTGCTGCTTAGTAGTTTATGAAATTAAAGAAATGTTTTTCTTTTGGTATTAACTATTATTTGTTATTGACCGAGTTTTTGTTATGCTTAATGCCTTTTACGAAAATTCAGGGTATGTCCCTGGTGATCGACTATCATAAATGCTGCATCAAAAGCACTATATATTAATAGTCTTACTTGATTCCAGAGGAAAAATTACTGAAATAAATGAAAAACAAATCTGTATGTAAATATGATTATATAAAATAAAACTGAAAGTTTCTGTAGATATATAATTTAGAAGGTTTTATGATGATATAGAAAAGGTTTGTGTTACTTTTGTAATTAATAGTTTCACGAGGTTGCAACAAAAATAGTAACTAGTGTTGTTTTTCATCGCGGAACTTTTTTTTAAAGATATATGAAAAATAAATTATCAGATTTGCTGCATCATATGTTTCGAAAAGTGGCCTAATCAGTACACAGTTCTTGCTATCACGTAAATGCTGTGTGTATAACTAGGCCAATATAAAAAAATTTTAATTTGCATTTATTTGCAAAGCCCCTCTACATTTCGGAATTAAAACTATTTTCATCAAATTTTCTGCCTTATTCTAAGAACGAGAATAATTGAAGGTGTATGCCTAATATGAATATTTAAGGAAAAAACTTATAACCATCTTTTTTTAACAGTCTGTATGTATAGCATTTGTAAGTAATTCAATATTGATGTTGATACTGGCTTAATAGAAAATTCATCCTGCGTGCTAAGGTAAACTTAAGTATCAATAAATATGCTAAATATTGTATTTCTTCTTGACTATAACTTTTTTAATAATATTTTCTTTTTCCCAGCATTTCTATTTTTTAATGAAAATACAGTATATGAATAAAACCTTCAATAAAATATATGTTATCATCTGTTTACATTATTAGTTAAGCTTCTAATTAACCTTTGTAAATTAAAAAGAATCAAACATCCTTTTCTCTTGAAAGGATTATAAAGAAACCGAAGATCCTAGTAAGTTCAAGAGTGAGAAGACTGGCAGAGGTCCATTAACAGGTAATTGGAGGGTAAGTTTGAAATGAATTATTTGACATATCATTTTATTTAATTTAGAATAGTAATTGTCTTAGAATTTAATATATACATATGTTTGATTCATCAATTAATCTTGCATATAATGTTATAACCAGGATTAATGTCAATAAACCATTTAATATTCGATATTTGGTTATGTTTATTGCATGTTAATTTTGAGATCTTTAGGGGAAAAACTGAAATTTTTCAAGGCTTGGTACAAATCAAATGTCTGCTTTTTGACATCTGATAGGAAGCTCTCCTACCATGCATACACAGTGTAACAGAATAAGGACACACATCTAACACTGCAGACTCTTTGCACTCCCAGTAAACAGGTTGGTAAACCTTTGAAGGCAAGCAGTGTCATATAAAAACGGAAAGGTGAATACAAAATACAGTCAAAAGTCGTTAATCCGAACTCGTCGGGACTTCGACAATTCCGGGTTATCGATTTTCCGGATTACAGGTCATCAGTTTAAATCTCGTAAGATGGCCCATACCATAATACCCAGTTCAGGACCAGTGTAGCGGTGCATAATGCAGTTATTCAGCATCCTCTCTCCATGATGTCTCCAAACTTGAATCCGACCATCGTGGTGTTGCAGACAGAAGCATGACTCATCAGTAAAAACAGTTTTATTCCATTCTGCCGTCCACATCCTTCTTTCATGGAACTAATGGTAGTGGAGACATCTGTGGTTCTGCGTCAAAGGTAGACAAAGCAATGGATGTCTTGCAGGCAGACCACTGCTGTAAACGGCGTCGAATGGTACGCGCAGACACTGGATGATGTGCTACAGACTGAATGTGCTGTGCTATGATTTGTGATGTGACTGAACGATCCATCACTGCCATGTGCACAATGTTCCTGTCATCACGTGAAGTGGTGCACTGAGGTGAATGCGATCGAACACGTCGGTCCGTCGTACCTTCCTGCATCCATTGGTCACATATCAGCATTACATTTGTTTGGTTTCGTCCAACACGATTACCGATTTCCCTGAAAGATAATCCACACTCTTGGTAGGCCACTATCCTTCCTCTGTCAAACTTGGATACTTGATCAAATGATCGCTGTTTATTACAAGGCATGATTGATCTTTTTTTTTTAAACAACAAGAAAAGCACAATTTCCAAACTTGAAATCATCGAAAACTCCAAGCCTTAAATAGAGCTTTAAAGTGGCGTCACAGGCGCGTGTGATGAGCATCTGCACTGAAATTCTAATCTTTCGCATATCTCACCTCCACTAATGCATGTTATTTGCATGCTTCCTTCAGGGTGTTGCATTTACGGTGGCCAGTAGTGTATTTAACACAGAACTTTTTTATGGTTAACATCATGACTACAGATTTGAGTTCACTTAATAATTATGCAGGATGGTCTTGGATAGAAAATAATTCCTTTTTCTGCTGGCAAATCATCTTTAGATACTTCTTTTTGGTGATACTGTGCTTATTTATTTCTTGCTGACGTTGTTCAGTCAAGTGCATCTATTGGTAAAAAATATTTTGTTTTAACTATTTAGTGAAAATATGGATTATAAAGGTCTGTTTCATAGTTAATAACATTATTGAAAATTTGACTTAATAATTATGCAGGATGGTCTCGAATTGAAGATAAGGCAATTTTTTTACATTCAACAAGTAAAGACTGGCTGCATGGACCTTTTCATGGTTTTACCCACTATAAATGTGAATGCCAGCTAGTTTCCCTTAGAAAATCCGCTGCAAAAGTTAATTTGCATACCTTGATAAACCAGTGAAACCTCACTGCAATTCAAGCACATTGGTTTAAATTGTGGCAAAACAAAATAAATTGTCCATCCACTGTCCCCTGAATCCCCCTCCCCATTTCTCTGTTTACTGTATGGTATGATTAATAACCCGAAAACAAAATAAAGAGATAATTTGGAAACAGAAAGTAATTCCACTTATATATCATCCAATTGAAGAGCAGAATGAAGATTATTAATACCCTATCAAGAGCACAGCAAGAAATCAAATTGGTCACTATAATTTCTGGGATAGGAAACATGAAAAATCAACCATGCATTGTTATTGAATTGAACTATGGAACTGTATTTTAGTGTGGGGACCACTGTAAACTGTTACATATTTTCATAGCAGAAAATGTAAAAATTAATTGTGCTCATGCAGGAAATAAAATCCTGAATCATCTGATTGCTAGTTGAATGTGTTAACTTAGCTGCAAGAGAATAATTTTATGGCAGACTAGTAGAAGATTCCTGAGAACTGGATCTGTGACCTTTATTTCTGTGTTGACCATTCTTTGAGCAGATTGGTTCTATATAATGATGGCTTACAAGTTTAAAGATCTTGTGTGGCCTTGAAAAAGTATCAGTGCAATCTTTGAAAGACCTTAAACATTTCATTGAAACAGTGTTTCTTAAACTTTTGACATACGTGTACCCTTTCTATGATTTTCATAACGCTGAGTGCATCTCGTCAAAAAAATAGATGTATTTTAATAACAATCAAAACATTTAATTGACTAAAGTTGAATGTAGGTGAACTTGAGCTTTTACGACCATGTGATCAGAAAGTCAAAAATCATTAAAAATTGCATGCCATTTTTGCTGATATAATGAGAGATAGTTTTTTTCCAATCAAAATTTTTTATGTTGGTTTCATATTATATCAGACTGAAAAATGTACAATTAGGAATCTATTTTTTGCATCGTTATTAGAAAAGGATTTGAGTGGTATCGTTCTCTCTGTTGTTACATTACTCTCAATCTAACTTAACTGGCATCGGGTACTTCACTAGTAAATTAAGAATAAAAGTTATATTATAAATAACATTTATTTGGATTGATGAAATTATTTGTGCTGAGATGACAGATTGTTATAATTTGTTTCCTGGTTGTTAATTTTAATCCGAGATGCGGTTCCACATCCAATAGTCTGTTCTTTTTTTTTTTTTTTTTTTTTTTTTTTTTTTTTTCCCCCGATTTAATATCTACAAATGCTGAAAAGGCAACTTCACATAAATATGAAAATAAAAAATGCGAGGTGTATTTCAGAACTTTTTTTTTTTTAAACTGGATGGACGTGTTGCATTTGTAACTGGTATGATTGTTAAAGTACACTACTTATGTTTATTTTTCAAGAATACGTCTGAAGCCAATTCCAACAATTGCTCTTCTTCCGCATGCGACAAATCTTCTTGCAAGGATGTTATGTTAATGTTAAACGGATATCTTATCTATTAAATATTTTTGTTTAAATCAGGAAAATAATTTTTCAAGCCCACTTCCAAACTCTTCAAATGCTGTGTTATGTATTTCAGAGTATCAACATGAATTTTAATAGTCAAACTTGTTATAAACTCGTGAAGAGAAGGAAATGAGTCTACTTCTCCATTACCAACTCTCTTTTGCCATAAATTAAGTTTTGCGATGGCAGCATTCACTTTATCTTGAACATGAAGCACTAAAATTTCTTTGCATTGTAACGATAAGCTGAAGCCATTTGAAACAGATAATATATTTTCTAAGTATGCTAGTTTACAAAGCCATTTTCAGTCATGTAAACAATTTCTCAACTAAAATCTATCATTAAGAAAATATCTAAGTTCACACAATTGATTTAGAAGTTTTCCTCGAGATAGCCAACAAACATCAGTGTGAAAAAGAAGCTGGGTACGACTACATCTGTTCTTCACGTATTTGCGAAAAACATCATGCATTCAAAGGACAGTTTTTAATATAGTTAACGATTTTCATGCTTTCATCTAGAACTTACTGTAGATCAGCTTGCATATTACATATTGCCAAAGCCTCTCTGTGTATGCAACAGTGTGTGGATATGACATTTGGGGCAACATTCTGAATTCTTGCAACGAGTCCTTTATTAATTCTACTCGTACTTTTTGCTCCATCTCTGCTTATTCCAACACATCTATTCCATTTTTTCTCTTTCATAAATTTATTCATAATGTTAAAGATATCTTCTGTTATGTGACCTAATAAAGGCTGGCAAAATAACAAGTAATCATGAATTCTTTGATTTTTTTCGTATCTAACAAACACCATAAGATTTGCAAAATTTGCAATATCAGTGGACTCATTGACTTGCAATGCATAATGTCTGAGAAATATCCGATAATAACATCTATTTCACGTGATTAGGCATATCAATGATTCGTCGATGAACTGTATTATTTGAGAAGGAAACACGGTCAAAAGTTTGTTTCGCTCCTATCAGTACTTCTGTCATTATCTTGGCTGCAGGCGGAATTAAAATTTTGCCAGTGGTTTCCGCTGCACTACATTTTGCAGTTAAAAGTGACACATGATGCAAAGTTTCTACTACTCTTCGATTGTCATCTCCTGTTAAACCCCGCATTACTTTTCAAGACTGATTTAAAGCCTTAAGTTCATTTTCAAAAAAATCTATGGGTTTATCTTTGTACTGATTATGGTTGGTCTCAATATGGCACTTAAAGTTGGATGGTTTCATGCTTTCGCTTGTTAGAGTTTCAAAACAAATGATGCAAAGTGGAATAGGCTTATTTTCATCTCTAGTCCATGAGAACCCAAATTTAAGATATTCTTTGTCGTACTTGGGAGTTTTCCTTGCTTTTTTCTTAATAGGTTCTTTGAGAATTTAAGTTGATTTAATTTAATTATTTCCTGTTATTTAATTGTTACTATAATTATTACTTTCTTTTGGAGTAGTTCCAGATTTCAACCAACGATCCATAACCTATGTTAGGGGTAAAAATGATATTTTATAAAAATAATCAAAATCAGTGGGAAAGCACATAACAAACATTTCCTATAAGAAAAATTTTGTAAAAGATAAAATTACACAGGTGCCTGGAGAAGCCACTAACTGTTAATTAAGTTGTCTCTGTAACAAAGTGTGGTATATTCCCGCTGTGTCACACTGCACCATCTTACGCCTAGCAAGACTGTCTTGACTCATAAGCACGTAGAATTGGATGCAGTTAAACACGGTGCAGTGCATATCCCCACCAAACTCTTACCGTACTCTTGAAGGCATGCGTACCACACTTTGGAAAACGCTTCATTAAAAGACTCTACACTGTTGCATTTCAGAGGATTAATACTTCTAAATATTAGAATGTGTATTACATTATATAGATTGTATTTTTATTATGGTGCTATGGAATGATTTATGCTTGATTTTTGAGAAAGCTATCTTTTGTAATCAGTACGTTTGATTGTTATACTAAATTCTTGTGTACAAAATTTATCTGTCTGTATACATATACTAAATAGCTGTTACGGTTCTAAAAATATAATAATTTTGCATTTGGCATATTGTGAAATTGGCAGTAGCTTGAAAGCATGTGAAGCTTTCTCCTGTTGTAGAAGAAAATGAGACCTTGAAATAGGCCTCCTTTACTATAATCCTGTATAAGGAAGTTATTTCATTAAGATCTAGCAGCTATTTAAATTCAGTAATTATTGCTGTTAGTTTTTACTTCATTAAGAGCTTTTTTTTAATTTGTAGCCTTTGAGTCTGCATGGTAAAGTTTTTAGGATATTATGTGTACTTTGAAGCAACATGTGTAGAATTCAGTTCTGTTTCAGTATGTTTTCCTCTTCTGTATTCAGTAGCAGTATATCAGTCTTTTTACTGCATGTTGTGTGTAGCTTTTTAACATTTTTGTTGAAAGTCCAAATTTTGCTACCACTGGAGCATGTATTCAGAAAATGAATTCTGAGAATGCAGCTACATTCTTAATGGCATATTGCAGATGTAAGATGCTTATTTTTCTGATATCATACAAGATTGAATATTAAATGTTAAAATAAAAGTATTTTATTAGTTTTAAATGTGAATAATTATCTTCTTTTTTCCAGGAAACTGTCAATCCTGTAATGTGCGCTTATAAATTAGTCACAGTAGAATTCAAATGGTTTGGTTTACAAACTAAAGTAGAATCATTTATCCAATCTGTAAGTGAAGTTTTATTTTTTATTTAGTGGGTTTTCACATTACATTTTTAAAGCTGTTTCCTTTTATTTGTTCATTTTAAGTATTCCATTTGATTTTAAATGTATGAAAAGAAAATTACATTTTAATTTAAATTTCATTGTATTATGTTATTTTAAATTGTGAGTTCGTGTAGAAATTCTCATGCTATTAAAGTTATTAAAGGAATATGAAATAACAATGGTTATATAAATATGTAAGCTTGAAATGTATTAGCAAAAATTTCTGTTTAAAAGCATTGCTTTCAGGTAAGAACACACTTTTATTGCATTAGGTTATAAGGTATTTTCTCCCTCCTTTTTGCATGCCTTCATGGTGTAACGGTTAGCACACTCAATGTATATTCGAGAGGTCCAGGTTCGATTTTCTGTGAGGGCATTGCTTATTTCTCTCATCACCTACTTCACAAAAAAAACAATAAGGTCATCTACAGTGGCACCTGAACTAAAGGGTGATGGACAATAGTTCGTCACCACCAGGATTTAGCAAATCGGTCTCAGTTGCCCTTTAAAAGGGAGAGTATATATGGTAATTTCTCCCTCTTTTTCTGCATGCCTTTGTGGTGTGACAGTAGCACACTTGGAGCAGGTTCGAGTCCTGGCAATGGCACTGCTTATTTCTCATGTCTCCAGTTTAAAAAATAGCTAATGTCTCTACAAGGTCATAAAAAATAGTCACTTGTAAGATATTTTAATGTATAAATTTCTTCATGCTATCTAAGATTTAAATTCAAAAAAATCAAAATTTAAAATTTAACTAGCTGAATATTAATTAGGATATTTAATTAATGGTGCCAAATTTTATGCCAAAAAAAAATGCCAAATTTTTATTTTCATTTGAATGAGAATCCAGATCCTTTGAAATTATATGTGTAGATTTCTTCAACGTATAAATAAAGCTCAGATTTACTTCACTTTTAGTGTTGATATTAACCAGTGATATTCTGTATATAAGTATAATCTGTTTGTTTTCTTATAAGAAAAGTATTTATGCCTACTAGCTTTCAAGAAAGTTTTTATTAAGTTAAAAGAAAAAACATTTTTTGAGTGTGTATAAATGAAGTAGTGCTTATTAATTTAACATATATCACTTTAAATTGTAGTGTTTATTAATTTAACATATATAATTTATGAAAGACTATTTAAAGAATGCAAGCTATTCTTCAAAATCCGTTTTCATCGTATAATTATTTTAAAAGCATTTGAAAGAAATAGGGAATTGTCTGTCATTATAGATGGCAAAGTAGAAGTATTCTCTGCTTTATCAATTAGGAAGCACATTTACATTGTATTTTCTAAACTCTGTCTTTGTATTCTATTACTTTCCCTCGTCCGTAATGTATAAAATGTGTGCTGTTTACAGTCATAGCAATTTAAGATTGTAAATTTCATAACTGAAGTAAAATCAAAAGCACCATAGTTAAATCTCAGCCAAAGGTTTTAAACCTTAAGTTTATGGTAATGTACAGTTCTAAATGATTTCTTGTATAATCAGGAGTTTTAAACCATCAAGAATATCATGGCTTAAAACTTGTAATTTTAAATCTTAAAAATACTGTAAGAAATATTTTTGGGAAGGGGAATTTCACCAAAAAAGAAACAAATAATTCTAATCATTATTGTGGGAAAATTTGCATGTGATGAATCCTTTAAGGTGTACAGTGAAATCTTCTCTATCTTTTAGCCTTCATCATGATGTAACTGATGAAAGGATTTTATACCGAAGGAGATTAGGATACATGGAGATGCCCTCCAAAGAATGTGAAGTCACAAATTGGAAAAGCGTGATCCTAGTAGTCGGGCTTTAAAAAGGCTGATATGCAAGCTTTTCCAGTCAATGAGGCAGAAGCTAGCCATGCCCGGTTACATTCTTATTTTTGGAAACATGAAAACTACTTACAGATGCATTGAAAAATTTTTATTTGACAGAAAAGGATATTAAAAAAATGTAAATTCTTTATTAATTTTTCTAATTCATGCCACAGTCTAAAAATTAACTAATGCTTTAAATGAATGAAATTCTGCCACCAAAAATTTTTAAATTTCCTTTAGGAAATAATAATATGAAGTCAATGTAAATTAAGTATGAAATTTGTAATATAATCTGATGACACATTGTAAAGTAGACTGTTTCTTCCCTTTTGTTAATTAAGGAAAAAAATAATTTTTTGTCTGTTTGTTTACTTATCATTTCAGTTCCATAGCTCAACTTTAAACACATTTTTTACAAAAAATTGGATTTAACAGATCTCTATATATTTCTTGATATATGTTATGCTGAGGAAATGCTCAGACTCCTCGTTGAAAGCCGAATAAGGAATCTGAGCTAATTAGTGTTACTCCGTTTAATTATGCATCTTAAAAAAGCATCCATTTGAATGAAATTGTAATGTCAACTGTTGATATTATTTTGCTCTAAGAATTTGTTGCCTCATAGCCCTCTTGCTTCTTCACTTAGAAATTCTGTAAACATTCAGAAAAGAGTGGTAGCTTTCGCCTCACTTTGCAGATAAGTACAAAGCTTTCTTGCCAGCACTTGGTGGTTTTTTTCCCTTCTCCTATCTTCAGCTTTCATTATAGAGCTGTAGTAAAGACAACACCTCATATTGTAATGTCCTTTTTATGTATGTACCTATTTCTTGGATTGGGGGGGAGAGACTTATATCCATAAAATGTTAAAGTTTCACATAAATACAAATTAAAAAGAAATTAGTCAGTGCTGTACTAAATTTAGATCTAATATTAGTGATGATACATTAGAAAAACTTTTATTAGCGAAAGCAGGCCTACGTGGCAATTGCTATGAACAAAATTATGAAGTTTCTTTCTTACCGTAAGCAAAATCTGCCACCATTCATAACATTTGTATGAAAATTGCTTAAAGTGTCCTTTTTTTTTTTTTTTTTTTTTTTTGTGTGTGTGTGTTTTAAACGATGCAAGTAATAAAAATGTTTTTTATGTGTAAGGTATTTTTGTGTTGCTTGCATTTAAGAATTAATAACTATTGAAAGTTAATTCATTATTAAAAACTATAATTTTAACATTTAAAAAGTCTTTTAACATTGTGAAAAATCTGATTTTTGAGTGTCATAGGTTGGCAAGCATGATGGTGAACTAAAATCTTTGCTTGCTGTAGTGAGTTACTTTAACTATTTAATGTGTTGAGTATGAAATATTAATCCGGAACATAGAACAGAACTTCTCTATTAGTGTTAAATTATGTATAATTAATTGCAAAAAGATTTTGAATAACCATGCTGTTACCATATTGCCAGTTGTAATTAAACTGCCGTGCACTTTAATGTTGATATTAACCAGTGATATTCTGTATATAAGTATAATCTGTTTGTTTTCTTATCAGAAAAGTATTTATGCCTACTAGCTTTCAAGAAAGTTTTTATTAAGTTAAAAGAAAAAACATTTTTTGAGTGTGTATAAATGAAGTAGTGCTTATTAATTTAACATATATCACTTTAAATTGTAGTGCTTATTAATTTAACATATATAATTTATGAAAGACTATTTAAAGAATGCAAGCTATTCTTCAAAATCCGTTTTCATCGTATAATTATTTTATACGATGAAAACGGATTATTTATACGATGAAATCTTTGTTTAAAATAATGGTTTTATATTCCCAGACAGAACAAAGGCTTTTCCTGAAATTTCATCGAGAAGTATTCTGTTGGATAGATCAGTGGTATGGCTTGACAATGGCTGATATACGTCGAATGGAAGAAGAAACCAAAAACGCTCTTCAAGCTGTAAGTTCTTTTAATAATGGGGAGGGTTATAAAAAAAAGGGTCCCAAAAAATTTATTATAATTATTGTGTATTTGGAATTAAAATTCTCTTTAAAATCCTAATTAATTTTTGTGTGCAGTTTGATTTTGAATATGCTTACTGAAGTCTAAAATTTATATCTTCTTTTTTTTTTCCAGCAAATAGCAGAAGGAGAAATTAGAGGAACACTTGTTGAAGAATAACTAATTTTGTATTTAAATACTATATTTTATAATATAGGTTTTTGCCTCAACAAATTTATAGCATTTCTATTAAAAAAAATTTTATATGAATTTTACTGTCATTATTAAATTTTCTACTAAACATTTACATTAAAAAAAATCCTTCCAAAAATTTTTAAGAAGTTGATTCTGGTCTACAAGTGCAGTATTTAGAAACGAAAAGTGATGTAATAACTTACCTTACATGAAATACCATAGTGCCAAATGTCTCAATAACTTGAACTCCTGATTAATTAGTATATTTATTTATGCTAGTATCGGACATAAAACAACCAAAAGTAAATATGACTAAATGCACTATCAAATATAGGAACAAAAAATTGCATAGCAATTTAAAATGTATTTATCTTGGGATTCATTCTGAGGAATTTTGGATTACAGTGGAACTTCTTGAAAACAACCATCTATGGTTACAGTTAATTTTGGTCTTTTATTTAAGTAGTCTTCTTAGAGATTATTAGAGACCATTGGTAGCACTTTACACTGTTATTTGTATTCTCAGAAGTACTAATTTTCAAAGGTGATCAGCATGAGGGAATGGTTATTCTGAGAGGTTTCTCTGTATTTCATTGTTTATAAGAAAATTGTGCATTTGTCCTTTTTTTTTACTTAAATCATTTATGTAAAAAATCATATATGCCAAAAAATGCTGATGCACAAATAAATCTTAAAATAAAAACAAAAATAATTATAGAGCTGTTTCAAAATAATAAACTGGGGTACAAAATATTTCTGGATCTAAAGATTAGTGCTACAAGCACTTATGTAAGAAGGACAGTTGGTATATTTAAATGCCATTGTGAACATCAAATGACCAAGGAGGTTAGAATAGGAAGAGGGAGGGTTCACAATTTCCTCCACTATCGGTGAATGAAACCATACCTAACAAGTGGCATCCATTTTAGTTCTGTCAATACATTGTATTGAAACATACGTGTTTCTAAGTTGTTCCATGCATGCATGTATTTTCCAGTAAAAATATGTTAAGTTTATGATATGAAATGCTTCAGCTATTCTTAAATTTTTGTTTTTAAGTAATAAAGATGATGTTCGTAATTTACTATGTACAGAAAATTATTAAGAAATAATTCGAAATCTGAATGCATGTGTATATAATAGTAAAGCCTTTCAAAATGATGTTTCTGCATATTTCAAGGATTTATGTAGGTTTTATTAGCAAACTGTTGGGTGTACTTTTCAAATTTTCATTTAAGAAGTGATATTTCTGATTTATTCACAATATTATACTTTATTAAAGAATCATTTCATATACAAATCATACAAAGTTTAAGAGATAGGAAAAACAGTTATTTATTTAGTATATTATTATTTTTAAATACTTCAGCTTTATGTTGTAATATGCTAAAACAGAAATTCACATGTTTAGCAGATAATTATCTTAAGAGGTTGCTTTTTTTTTTTTTTTTTTTTTTTTTTAATAGATCCTTTTCAAAACCAAGAAACCTTATAACAACAAGAAAATAAATATTAATAAAATAAAACAGATTTATGTGAATTTAATGATTTCAGTTTATGCATGTTTCATCTTTATGAATCTCAAAGAAATTGCCTTGAATTAAGCTGAATTACAAAAATTTTTTGGATATGTCTTTCCACATGTTCAATTGTGTAAATATTTTACTTACTTTTGATTGCTATGCTGCCCAGAAATTTTTAAGTTTATGCATACATTTTTTAACAACAGAACAGCTTATCTTGATCAGTTGCACAAATTATATTCATAACAGTTCATAAAAATGAATAATAATTAATGCAGAAAGAAAAGTTTTATGTAACACCTTTACAAGTCATAAAGATAGTAATGACTGATTTCTTACTTTTCATGAAAATTATAAAACAAATTACCTAAGATGCTCAAATTTTACATTTTAAATCCTAGCATATATCATTGTATGATAAAGAAAAAAAGATACCAGCTATAAACAGAAACATTAAAATGTATTAAACATATTTTGATTATTATTATTAAGTCCTTTTTTTCACATTTGAAAAGAATGCTTTCCAGCATATTTATGCTTAAATGACATTGTGATATTTTTCAACATGTTTATCAAATTACATTAAAAAAAATCATTACTTGTGCGGGAAAAGTAATCCCAGGAATCTTTTTTGAAAATTGATTTGTGCATCCATATGCAACACAAGATGGCATGCTTCAAAAAGAAAAAAAAAAATGTTGCAATGGCAGACTTCCTTGCACAAGTCACAGCAACTGTAGTAACATGGCCGCCAGGATTCACTAGTTTGAGTTCAACCTTCCCTCCTTTTATTCTAACCTTCTTGCAAATGACAGATCAAGCATATGAACTGTGTTACTACCATCACAGAATGAAAAAAAGGGAAAGAAAGTAAATAAGGCAACAACTTTTGTAAATAGTCAGGTAAACTAAAAATATATATATGTATATAATGTGGAATAGCTTGAAATGGGATTTTCCCTCCTTTTATTGTGCAGTTATGTGTGTTAGTGTATCTAAATAAACACACACATACATATCCACAAATGTTCCTACCTGACCTTTATTTTTGCAACCATTCGATGTATGATTATAACCATTAAATGTATGATGATTTATTTTTGCAACCATTCGATACTGCCAATTATGAAATGTTTTAAATTATGCAGATATTCACGATTTTACATTTTTAAACATAAAAATTACAAAATGTAATTTTTTACATCATTTCTATGTCCTTATATGTATATTTATGAAAATTTGTGCTTACTATAAGAAATAAAAAACAGTGACTCCCATATAATAAAAATTGGCCAAGGTATTTAATTTGAAAAATTTCAATATCTAATATTTTCAACTTGCTTCAGTTACTTAATTTAGTAAATGGACCTTGAATAATTCTGATTAATTTATCAGAATTATTCAAGGTCCATTTTCCCCTTTAATGACATTCACTGGTATTGTTTTACGATTTACTAGCATGTAACATTCTTTATTTTACAGAAGTAATTTATAAGTTTTCAAATACACTTTTAGTTTATGCAAATAATATTACCAGTTAGCTATGTGCCAGTGACAAAGTCTGTCAGTTTTATCTAGAATAGAAATGTTATAAGACTGAATAAAATCTCCATTTTGAAAAAAATTATATTGATCAATATTTTTCTTGACAATCTGTATAGAAATGCTCACTTAATCTACCGGAAACCTTTTTCTAAATTAATATTTTATTTTTAGTTACATACATGCAAGCATTCTGCTTTTCAGTTTGTGTGTTTCCTGAATATGATCTTCAACTTTAAAATGAAATAGGGTCAATTTTTGTTGTCTGTCAAATTTTTTTGTATATTATTTTTTATGAGGAGCATAAATTTTCCTGAATATAAATAGAGGCATTGTATAAAAAATTACATTTGATAAATTTTACAGATTTTTTTTTTTTTTTAATCAAAACATATATTTATGTCTATGGTCATTAATTGCAGAAATCAGGCTAGGTGAGAACATTTGTGAATGTGTTGTGTGTATAGATATAATATATATATACTCACACACACACATACATGTCTATATAAAGAAAAGAACTTCTGATAAATTTAATTCATCAATGAAATGAACGTTTTGGCTTGAATAACGCACCATTTAAAAGATAATTTGTTAATAGTATCTTAACTAATACTTCTCATGTTCTCATAAAATCTAGAAGCAACTCTTCAATCAGTTATGTTGGCTGCTCTTTCTTTTTTGTGGAACAGATGGTATTGTTCTTTTTATTTTCATTTTGTTATTTATGAATTTTTTCTGATTTTGAAACAGCTGTATAATTTTTCAAATGTTGATATCTGTGCATTCATTTTACTTACTTTGGGCTGCCTGTGATACTGTTTTGAAATATTTCTTTTACCCCTTTTGGGAGAGGTTCTTTTTTAATGTATGATAAAAAAATCACATAATGTTTTCAAAAAATAGAGTAATTATATAATCTCCCCCCCAGACCTTTTTTCATAGCATCATCTTTCATAATTAAAAGCATTCTAACACTAACTTGTAAATGTTTTGAATCATTTTAGGATTCATTCACGCTAGATGTTTAAATTAAAGTATGCTTGAAAACCATTGAAATCTAAATATTTGAATAAATGTGTAGTTTAAAATGAAAAACATATTTTTAAAGTGTTGAGAAAAATGACGCAAAAGGAAGTGAAAATTTTCTTAAAATTAGTTTGTAAACTCTGATAATAAAAATATATTATTCATGAAGTTTTTAGTGTAAGTTCTATGATCAAAAAGCTTACCATTGTAGTTTAATCCTTTGTACTTTAATGAGTTTCTATATTCCCAATAATGAAATGTAGAAATGCATTCTTTCTTACATGCCATCCCTAAATTTTTTTTTTTTTTTTTTTTTTTTTTTTTTTAAGTACTGCAATACCATTTAATTTCCCCTCCCAGTATCCTATAATGAATTAAGGTGATTTCATGTTTTTACATCAATACATGCAGAAATTATAGTTTACAATAATCCTACCCCTATAGGAGAGCTAATAAAGTTCAAAAGATTGACTTGATAAGGTAATTTAGACCATTAGTTCTCAAATTTTGAGTTCCTGGGCACTTTGATGTGATGCATACTTTGATGGTTTCCTTATCATTAACAGTTATGGTTATGTTTATTATATTTTTCAAAATGAAATGAAACAACAAACGAAATTTAATTTGGAAAATCTCTCACAAATTCTTTGAATCTCAAATCCCCATGTGTCACTGAAGTTTAGGAACCGCTGTTTAGATTCAGGAATTTTTGAGATAATTTAGTTTATTGTTACAGTGAAAATAAATCTTACTCCTGAGTGTAAACATAAATTCTATTCAAAGTGTAAACAAGTCTTGTTCGATTTGGGACTCTAATTTTGTTAAAAAAGAAAGAAAACTGCATTTTATGTTGAAATGGCTCTCTATTTCTTCTAAAGCATTGTATATTTATTATGAAAATTAAAAATCAAATAGAAATTTACTTTAATTGCATTTTGCCTTTTCCATGTATTCTGATAAAGATTGATGGAATTTTCTAAA